AATTTTGAGGGTTTTGCAATTTTTCTGGTGGACCTACGGCCCAAACACGATTCTTTACTTTTTGGTTTTGAAGATTTTGCAAAGTTTTCTGGATAGCATGGCTGGTCATCACTAATCCTATTATCTACATTTACACTGACACTTACTCTACGTCCCTCGTCAATTTGCTCAATACAATCCTTAGTTTCAATGTTTGTCAAAACGCCAGAGCACGGGTCAAAATTTGAATTACCTGAAGTACAACTACTGGTATTAGTATTGGAAATATCAGCAAGGGTGTCCTGAGAATCATTCCCCTCAGAAGACCGGTCTACCCCCATGCTGATGCTATCCGCAGAGGAGGAAACGATCCCCAAGGCTGCATTGATCGGCAAATTCACGAACTAATCAGAGTTCAACTCACTACTTTTATGAAATTGAGGTTTATTTTTGTTTCTTAAATCCGTTTTTCCACTGTGGCTGAAGTTCAACTCTCCTTGTTATGGTTTCTATAATCCTTGATCAGGACCCTTTCCCTCACTTCAAATTCTCTTTTTCGGCCTCCATAATTTATTATTTGTCTGTCTCTTTGAGTTTCTGTGTTTGGGTTTACCATTTCGGTTGGAGGTTTTCTACAAGGTTGGCTCTCTTTTATTTGTGATATAATTGTTCTGGGTTCTCTTCCATACATTAGAAGGAAGGGTGTTTTGCCAGTTGTTGAATGTCGAATTGTTCTGTATGTAAATAGGAATCTGGAAATCAAAGTTTGAATTGGAAAATTTGAGTTTCTTGGGTCATCAAGTGCTGCCTTAATTTTTCCTTTGAAAGTTTTCACGGCATTTTTTGCGAGAGTTTTTTTTAATTTTTCCTCAGTTTCGTAAGCTGAAATTTGTTTCATCTGGAAACATTCCACCCATTTAGTGTACGAGTCCAAGATGACGAGATACATCTTTCCTTTAAACTCCAAAAAATCGATGTGTATTTTTTGAAACGGTCTGCTGGTCAATTCCCACGGAGTCAAGTCTGTTCTAGGTGGGTTTTGTTTATTTACCAAGCAAGGAAAACATGCTCTTGCCAAATTTCCAATGTCATCATCAATCTTCGGCCAGTAAACTAAGGATCTAGCAAAAGCTTTCATCTTACAAATACCCATATGGCCAGAATGAATTATTTCTAATATTTTTAGTCTCAATTTTTTTGGTATTGTTATTCTATGACCCCATAGTAGGATGTTCTTTTCTATGGATAACTGGTTTCTTCTATTGTAATATGGCAAAATATTGTCATCTATGTTTTTAGACCATTTATTGTTCTTCACATTTTCTATGATTCTTGTAAGATCAGGTTCTTTTTCTGTTTCCCTTTTCACCTCCGCATTGTCAATAGGCCATTTTTTTTGAGATTCGGTGAAATTTTTGTTTTCAGAAAAGTGTGGGTTTTCCATGGGGTTTCTGCTCAAATAATCTGCAAGTTGGTTCTCTGAACCTTCTATATATTGAATTTGATAGTTAAACATTGAAAGAAAAGCTGCCCAACGTTGAACGCGATTTGGTGACATTTGGGGTATTTCTTTGTTTTCACCAAAAAGAGCTACCAAGCATTTGCAATCAGTTCCTAAAATAAATTTAACACCGCACAAATATTGATATAAGCGTTTGACGGTATAATAAACTGCAAGTGCTTTTTTCTCTACTGTAGCCATGGTTCGTTTTTCACAATCAGACAGAGTTCTGGAAACGCAAGTCACGGTTTTTTTTTGGCCGTCTTTGATCTGTGATAAAACCCCAGAAATACCCACATTTGAGGCATCACAAGTAACATTTATTGGCAAATCTGGGTCAAAATGCATTAATACGTTATCATATGATATAATCTTCTTTATTTCCCTAAAAGCTGTGTCACATTTAGTTGACCATTGAAATTTTGTATTATTTTTGAGGAGGTTGTAAATTGGATGTAACAAGGTGGAAAAATTTGGTATAAATTTAGAATAATAATTGACCATTCCAGCAAACGATCTTACCTCGGACACATTCTTCGGTATTGGTGCTTCTTCAATTGCTTTAATTTTGTCGCTTGTTTTCTTAATGCCTTCTTTGCTAATTTAATGACCTAAATAATTTACTTCTCTCTGAAAGAAATAACATTTTTCTTTTCTCAATGTGAAACCTGCCTCTGTCAACCTTTTGAAGACCAACTCCAAGTTTTTCAGGTGTTTCTCTGTGGTTTCTCCAGTGATGATTAGGTCGTCCAAAAATGAACATACTCCATCAATACCCTGTATGAGCTGGTCCATTATACGTTGAAAAATTGCAGTAGCCGTTTTAATTCCAAATGGTAATCTCTTGTGGCGAAAAAGCCCCAATTGGGTATTCCAGGTTAAGATTCCTGAGGTTTCTTCATCCACTTCTATCTGGTTGTATGCTGATCTGATGTCAATTTTTGAAAAATACTCTCCCCCATTCAACTTGGCAAAAACTTCCTCTATTCTCGGTAATGAATAGATGACCTCTTCTAAGAATCTATTTAATCTTCTTTTATAGTCACCGCATAATCTAATACTTCCAAATTCTTTCAATACTGGAACTAACGGAGTCGCCCAGTTACTATTTTCCATTCTTTCCAGAATACCCTCTTTAACCATTTCAGGTGCCAAGGGAACAAGTCAGAATTTACAAAAAGTTGGTTTATAGTTTTCTTTCAATTCGACATGAATTCTACCATATTTATATTTACCAAGTTTATCAGAAAAAAGTTCATTATTGCACTGAATAAGTTTGTTTATTTTATCATTTACTGCAATATTATTAGTTAGTTGAATCCTTACCTGGAACGCTTTCAACCAATCACAGCCCAAAAGGTTAGGTCCCCCTCCGCGAGCAACATATATTTTAAGAACTTCAGTTCTGTCTTTATAGGTGACTTCAGGCAAGAAGTGGCTCTCAGCCTTCTCCGTTATACCCTTTTAGTACTGCGGCGTCTTGAGTAAGCCTGTAACCCGAAAAATATTTAAGGTATTTTTCATAGCTACATGCGGATATTGACGATCCACTGTCTAAAATAAAATTATGCTCCCTATTGTCAATTTTTATTTTTATACACCGTATAAAACGGGGATACTTTTTGACAAGGGGGAAGCTTTGTGACATTGTGGAATTCAAATCAAATAAGTCAATACGTTTTAAATTCCGCGTGCCAAGCCAAATTTTTCTACCGACAGGTGAAAGCACATACCTCACCCGCTACAAAGACCGCTCGGCATGCTAGTACGCTCCCTTGGTAACTAGCATTCTGATTCGAAGGGAGCATCTCGATTTTGCAACTTTTTCGAAACTCCCAAAACTTTCTACTGTACATCAGAATCTAAACAATCCTCAGAGAAATTCGTAAGACTTTCCAATTGCTTGGGTACTTGTCGGGATATCTACGTGAAATCGCTTACGATTTATTAATTTGACCCCTTTTTTTTCAACAATAAACAAAACAGAGGACCCTTCCGGGGCAACTTTGTGACATATAATTAGTACAGAAGAAACTTATGCTCAACCTAAAACAACGCTAAAAGGATCGACATGTCTCCTAATGTGGACAACTTCCTATTGGTGGAGTTCACATTCCAATTTCTGGCTGAATATGAGGGTGATAAATACTATATCGTATGATATTCAATTAAAATGTAATATGTCTAAATCAGTATATACCCGTGTTTTTAATATCAGAAAATTGTCAAGCAAATATTTCTTGACATTTCCTATCGTTTCAGACTAAAAAAGACGGGGTTACAATATGTTTTCATTGTACAAACGCACTTTCACAGAGTTACCCCGCATCACGGGGTAAAATTGGGACACTTTCAAATTAAAAGCTGAATTATCAATTTTTATTCAATTTCCTATTATTGCTATTTTGTAGCGAAAGGACGGATATACATAGTAAATTTTTTTTAGAGTTTTATGTGGTAAAGAACTGTTTGAGAATTGCAAAAAACCTCAAAATCTGTCAGAAATATTCCCGTTTTACGGTAAATGTTTTTGCGAAAACGTGAATTATCATTGCACTTATTATTCACATTCCTCCAAAAAATGCGGTGGTATTTTATCACTGCTATTGATTGAATTAAAATTTTTGCACTTATATATAAGGTTGCGATTTTTCATTTCACTATGTGCCTTTGAAGAACTTTGGCAGTTTCATCAGAATCACTAGCTTCATGCATTATTTCAAATCGTGGATAGAAAACATGTCTTCCTCCTCTACGAGGAGCAAAATCGTGAGGGGTAAAATTATTTCTATATGTGATATTAATGTCAGAGACAAACTCCAGAACAATTGTAGCAAGTTCTACTTTTCCCTCTCGAGAAGCGATGTGAAGTGCAGTGAATCCATTTTTGTCCCTAACATTTTCATTGGCTCCTTTATTCAAAAGCATTGTGGTTATGTTTCGATTTCCCTTCTGAGCTGAGATATGAAGTGCTGTTCTGCCATATTCATCTCTAGAGTCAATATAAGTTCCAAATTTCAAAGTAGTCTCAATAATCTCTTGATGACCTTCCAAAAAGAAGTGGTGCGTTGTGAAATTAAACTTCAGAATCAAATTTGGCATTGCATTCTAACAATAGTTTTACAACTCCTGCATGGCCGTTTTGAGCTGCAAGGTGCAGTGCAGTGATTCCATTTTTTCCTGCAGCATCTACATTGGCTCCTTTATTCAAAAGTATTACGCTAGTTTCTAGATTTCCGTCCTGGGCAGATATATGAAGTGGAGTGAAGCCACTTTTCAGGGACAAGTTAACATTTGCATTCTATTCCAAGAGAACTTCAACAACTTTTGCATATCATTTTTTAGTGGAAGAAAGAAGTGTTGTTTTAACATATTTAGTTTGAACGTCTACATGGGCGCCTTTACTTAGAAGCAGTTTGGCGATTTCTCCCTTAATATTACTATCAGGCTCTTTATTATTGAAAGAAAAGACTGAAAAATTATCAGAACATAGAGAGGGGAAATAATCTCGGACTCGGAATTATTCATGCTGATCCGAAGCAGTAAAATGCAATGCTGTTCTTCCGTAGTTATCACAAGCATTTATATCAGCATCATGTTGCAGAAGAGCTTCAACGATTTCTTTGTATTCTTTCCTAACAGCAATATACAATAGCTCAGGATCATCTTCAACAATAGCTCCATTAGTTAAAAGTAGCTCGATCATTTTTAAATCAACATTTTTAGTAGCATAAAATATTGGCGTTTTTCCAGTTTCGTCTTGAGTATTTAGTTTAGCTCCGTAGCTAATCAACAATTTAGCTATTTCTTCCTGTTTTTTTTTGGCTGTATTATGTAAAGGTGTTAAACCTCCTTTAGTTGAATTGTGTAACATATTAATATCAATATCATACTTTAATATGTCTTCCAGGGCCGGCCCTACCATAAGGCGAACGGAGCGGGCGGTCCAGGCGCCAGGTCTCGGGGGGCGCTCCGACTCGTTCCTTGGTGATAAAAAAGGAAAGAAAGCAAGCGTGTGGTTAGCATGTGATTAGATAGATAGAGACATATCATATTACATAATAATATGTAATGTTTTCGAATTTTGAATCGGAGAGGATGATGGTTGATCTTGGGTAGCAGCTTAAGCTATCTCCACTTGATGTTTCTGACAGAATTTGCAAATTAAAGCAGTGTCTCGGTGTTGGGCCAGTTGGCATACCGTTTGTTTTTCTAGCCTGGCAAAAGTCCTATGGTATTTCAGTTTTTAAAAATGGAGACAAATCAGACATTGAAAATTATCGAGCAATAACAAAGGTCTCCTTGGTAGCCAATGTTTTTGAAGGTATTGTTGCAGATAAAATCACCCCACATTTTAAGAATGTCATTATCAATGGACAACATGGTTTCATGAAGGGATGATCCACCATAACAATGATCAAAATCCATGCTCGAGCATATAGGTACTTCATTCATACATATAAGGAATTCATTTGCATTTTATTACTATTTAATAGTCATAAACAGGAGCTGAAACTCAGCAGGAGGTAGATCTTAGAGGTAGTTAGGGAGATGGGCGAGTTGTACTAGCCCAATGCTCTGGTTTCTTATTTAAAATTGGCAACCCACTTTTTTTACCTAATGACATAGGTAACTATTCCCTTACCGGCACGTTGGCGCTTTGATAAAGGATGACAGGACGCCCTACTCAAAGCCAAGCAACGTGGTGTCGGGATGGAGATTGGATGGGTGACCGCAGTAGTAAGGGTCGAGTAGATCGCCCGCGCTGCCGCCAATCATCTAATCTGCAAGTATGAATGGGAAGGAGTAGAGTCCATACAATGAGATACAAAAAGCCTTTAAGGCTGCAGTGTTGAGTATGGACTCGAAAAGGTGAAAACAAACAACAACAACAATACTATTCCCTTTGTTTTCTTCAGTATAAGGGGTATATGCACGTGACCGAACACAGTAAATGAGGCAAATAATTTATTGAATGTTAAGACATTTCTTATATCGGTGAATAGAGTATACGATTCACATTTAAAATAGGGGCGCCAAATTAGGATCTCGCTCCATCCTAAAAGTAACCTCGGGCCGGCACTGATGTCTTCAACGACTTTCAAATATCCTTTTTCTGATAGCAGCATATAATAATTCTGGATTATTACTATACATATATAGTAAAACCATATTCTAGGAGAGCCTCAACAATTGGACAAATGTCCATACCCTTTTCCTCTACAGCCGCGCACCGCGATTTCAAGAGAGTTTCTGTTAGTTGCATTATTGATATCAGGACAATACTTCAAAACCTCTTCAACAATCAACAAAGAACCTATTCCAACAGCAAGTTGTAGTACGGATCTGTCAGTGTCCTGATTGTCAACTGCAGCTCCACATTCTAAGAGCAGTTTTATAACTGTTTTATGTCCGTTTCAATAGCAACATGAAGTGGGCTTAAATTATCCTTTGTGCTAGTATTAATATCAGCACCCCAATCCAGGAATAATTTCTCAGTTTCTACATTATATTTAATATAATAATTTTTTTTTTTTTAATACATAATATAATTTACATCAGCTCCATGTGTTAAAAGTAATTCAGTTATTTCCATTTTCCTATATGCAGTACCTATTCAATACGAAGGGAGAAGGGGAACTTTTTGACTTTTTTGAAACGAAATTGCGTTACCGGTCACTTCCGGTTTAACAGGAAGTTCCCATAACCTTTGACGTTCAAGTGCCTACCCGCGGTACCTTTCAACTTTTTCGGCATCAACAATCATTTAAAAAAAAAATACGTGTCTGGCACAACTTGATCAGTATGCTGTAGAAAACAATGGATTCAAATACATATTGGTTGTAATCGACTGTTTTTCCAAGTACCTTTGGACGCGTCTCATTAAATCAAAATCTGCACCAGATGTTGCCAACGCCATGGCGGAGATATTCAAAACATCTGGAAGAATTTCGAAGAAAATTATTTCAGATAATGGAAAGGAGTATTACAATGCTCAATTTGTAAGTCTAATGAAGAAATACGGAATACATCATTATAGTTGGTTTAGTCCTTCGAAAGCATCGATTGCCGAGAGAGTGATTCGAACCATTAAAGAAAAGCTGTTCAAGCAATTTACATTGAATGGGAACCATAAATGGCTGGATTTATTACGGCCTATAACTGATGCCTATAATGATAGCAAACATGGCACGTTACATATAAAGCCGAGTAAAGTGAATAAAAAGAATGAGAAGGCGATACTTGATGCTGTCTATAGTCATATTAAAGTTGCCGGTAAGCAAAAGTTCAAGGTTGGTGACATTGTTCGCATAAGCAAGTATAAACATGTTTTTCAAATACGCTATACCCCAAACTGGACTACATAACTCTTTGAAATAGTCAAAGTTCATATTACGAATCCAATAACGTACCTGTTGGAAGACTTGCAAGGTCAACCGATAAGCGGTGGATTTTACGAGGAAGAGCTACAGAAAACAAAACAGCCAGACGTATTTCTCGTGGAGCAAGTGCTACGAAAAAAAGGCAACAAAATGCTTGTAAAGTGGCTAGGCTTCGATAAATGACACAACAGCTAGATTGACATGACTAAAGATGCCATTTAATACTCGCATGTGATTGGTCTAAAACATTTTCGACGACGTGATGGTGGGGGTCGTAAAAGGTATTATAAACCCCAAAATACTACATTTTTGTCTCAGTATTTGTCAGTATAGTCACGATGTCATCGTGAAATGTCACAGCCCTGTGCATCGAATCATGCAATGTACGCAGATATCAGTGCCGAAGACAGCGACGATTCGCAGTGTTCGTCAAATTATTGGAAATATTTGGATAGTATGATTTTGAAAAGTCGAATGGAAATTGCTCAAGAGAAACGTCTACTAAACGAAGTTAGTTACCATGTGAACAATTTCAAGTTGATTCTGGGCCTAAGCGTCGCTCGAGGAATACTGCCAGCAGTCAAAATAGTAAACTCCATGCTAAACTTGCCCGAAGATCAAACTTGCATAACTCTAGCCGATTTCGACTGGTATGAATTCCTGGAAAAGTTATCCAAGATGGTGAATGAAACTGCTGCTGGCGTCAAAGACTCTGCTGTGCCTGGTCAACAACAGGCGTTATCCGAGAATTACACTCTTTGTGTCGGATAGTTTTTCGGTGAACAAGCTTTAACTCTAACATCGAATAATTGTGCATTGTGTTTTTGTTTGGACGATGTCAAACAAATTTTAACTGTTTGTCCTCTCATAAATTATAGATTAGAATAAGTCAAGGATTTAAATTTCATTGTATACTATCATGATTGCCTACAATATTTGAATGTAACTCACAATGTCAAAAACAGCAGCAATCTTTTGCAATCAATCATCAGCATGTGTAACTTGAACAAGTGTGAACGTAGCTGCTACTTTCTAGAACTTGCTACTATGAACCTAACCAAAATTGTTAGGGTTTTAGATAAGCTGGACGCGTGTTGTACCACCCCCAGATCAAATTAGTATTAGTATTAATAAATGACTATAAAAAACAGGATTGCTTTTTATTTTTTCACACTACAATAGCAACCTTTGAAGAGTCAAAATGTCCGAATATAGAATTACTGGTGGTGGTGGTGGTGACGCCTGCTGCCATCATCAATCTTCCTGTTTAAGACAAGCTGCTACGTACTAGTTTAGAAACAGACGTGTACTTTTTACTTCGAGCACTTGAGCAAGAGCCCGCCACTAATGATTGGTTTTCTGCGCAAGCTGTGGAAAAATATGAAATTGGTGTCAAGTCTTGTAATCTTTTTCTGGCTAATTCCATCTCCTTGGAGGGCCTATGTGTGCTTATGAATCAGTATGGACTACATCAACAATTAAAACAGTATGGCGCTAAATATATGGGTGAAGATATTATTGCAAAATATATAGGTTACGATGAAGTTGACTAATTTCTATGCTGTTTTTCCAAATAAAAGTTTTCCCAATAAAAATTGTTTGCATTAAATTAACCATTGCACCAATTTATTGAGGATGTGTAAATGAATCTAAAATTCATTCAATTACTAACCATGATGGTGTCAAGTCAATCGTACTATGTTCTCTTGGTTGCCCTTGTGCAAAATAGTTTCTATGTACACAGACCGTACAATGTCCACAAAATGTCAATCGTGCTGGACTTTTCCGCAACGGATAACACAACATCATGGACAGAAATGCATTATGAAATAATAGATAAGGGTCTTTTAGCAGTTTTTACGACTCGTATACCGTCGTCGTCATTGGCGTACCTGCGTTATAAGGTGAGGCTGCATTTTCATGATAAAACTATTGGAGATACCGAATGGAGAACTCTCATCAGAGAACCACAACAGCAGCAGCAAGAAGAAACATACAATAATTCCACTAGGACTTTATTAGACGACATCGCACCGAAATCCACTTTAAATGTAGTCATATTTATTGCCATTTGCTGCATAATATTATTATTGAATTTTCCGTACAATATTGGAATTGGATATTAATGTCAGAGTCAAACTCCAGAAAAATTGTAGCAAGTCCTACTTTTCCCTCTCGAGAAGCGATGTGAAGTGCAGTGAATCCATTTTTGTCCCTAACATTTACATTGGCTCCTTTATTCAAAAGCATTGCGGTTATGTTTCGAGTTCCCTTCTGAGCTGAGATATGGAGTGCTATTCTGCCATATTCATCTCTACGAGACAATATCAGTCCCAAATTTCAATGTAGTCTCAATAATCTCTTGATGACCTTCTTTATTACCCAAAAGAAGTGGTGCGTTGTGAAATTGAAATTCAGAATCAAATTTGGCATTGCATTCTAGCAATAGTTTTACAACTCCTGCATGGCCGTTTTGAGCTGCAAGGTGCAGTGCAGTGATTCCATTTTTTCCTGCAGCATTTACATTGGCTCCTTTATTCAAAATCATTGTGCTAATTTCTAGATTTCCTTCCTGGGCAGATATATGAAGTGGAGTGAAGCCACTTTTCAGGGACAAGTTAACATTTGCATTGTATTCCAAAAGAACTTCAACAACTTTTGCATATCCTTTTTTAGTGGAAGAAAGAAGTGTTGTTTTACCATATTCAGTTTGAACGTCTACATGGGCGCCTTTACTTAGAAGCAGTTTGGCGATTTCTCCCTTAACGTTACTATCAGGCTCTTTATTATTGAAAGAAAAGTCTGAAAAATTATCAGAACATAGAGAAGGGAAATAATCTCGGACTCGGAAATAATCATGCTGACCCGAAGCAGTGAAATGCAATGCTGTTCTTCCGTAGTTATCACAAGTATTTATATCAGCATCATGTTGCAGAAGAGCTTCAACGATTTCTTTCTATTCTTTCCTAACAGCAATATACAGTAGCTCAGGATCATCTTTAACAATAGCTCCATAAGTTAAAATTAGCTTGATCATTTTTAAATCAACATTTTTAGTAGCATAAAATATTGGCGTTTTTCCAGTTTCGTCTTAAGTATTTATTTTAGCTCCGTAGCTAATCAACAATTTAGCTATTTCTTCCTGTTCGTTTTTGGCTGCATTATGTAAAGGTGTTAAACCTTCTTTAGTTGAATTGTGTAACATATTAATCTCAATATCATACTTTAATATGTCTTCAACGACTTTCAAATATCCTTTTTCAATAGCAGCATATTATAATTCTGGATTATCAGTATGTATAGTAAAACAATATTCTAGGAGAGCCTCAACAATTGGACAAATGTCCATAACTTTTTTCTCTACAACCGCGCACTGCGATTTTAAGAGAGTTCCTGTTACTTGCATTATTGACATCAGGACAATACTTCAAAACCTCTTCAACAATCAACAAAGAACCTATTTCAACAGCAAAGTGTAGTGCGGATCTATCAGTGTCCTGATTGTAAACTATAGTTCCACATTCTAAGAGCAGTTTTATAACTGTTTTATGTCCATTCTCAATAGCAACATGAAGTGGGCTTAAATTATCCTTTGTGCTAGCATTAATATCAGCACCCCAATCCAGGAATAATTTCACAGCTTCTACAATACCTCGTTTAGAAGCAAAATAAAGTGGCGTATATCCTTTCGATGTTAATGAATTGATAGAAGCACCATCATAGTTTAGAAGATCTTTGGCAATATGTATATTGAAATTTTTTTTCGCTTTCGAAGCACAAATATGCAGAGGGGTCATACTACTTTCAAAGTAGTAACTTTCTCCTTTAACATCAACACTAGCACCTCTACTTAAAAGCGATGTGACAATTTCTGTATTATTAATTAATATTATATTGAGTTGCAGTGCTATACAAAAACCTTTGACACACACAACTAATAAAACAAATTTATTTATTACTTATATTGTTTTTTTGATAGGTTCCGGTTACAATTTAGTATTATCTATTTGATAATCGATTTTATGAGTTTTGGTCATAATATGTTTTAATTGCAAATCCAACAAACTATACATAGGTACCTTTTTTTTTTTGGACAATCCAGCGTGAACGATTTTTTGGAACGAGTTGAGGAACTGAGGCGGTCACGAGGCATTTCGAAAGAACAACTGCTGCGTGCTTGTCCTGAACTTTTCGCTGGTGATGCCCTGTTATGGTACCGGACATGCAACTTTTCTGATTGGGATGATCTCGTGAGTCAACTGAGAGAATCTTTTCAGCCGTATGATTACGAATTTGCATTGTGGGATGAAATTCCTCAACGAAAGCAAGGAGCTCAGGAACGTGTACTTAACTATGTCGTAGCAATAGAAAATCTTTCTCGAAAAGTTTTTGAGGTTCCATCAGAACGAACAAAACTTAATATCATACGTCGAAATTTGTTACCACTTATTCAAAGTCGTCTTGCTACCTATGAGATTTCGGATATTCAGGATTTAATTCGATTATGTAAAGCTGTAGAGGAAAAAGAATCCCGTGTACCGAGGTTTGTTCCGCCTCCTACTGATGTCCGAAAATTACTAGAGCCCGAACTAGCCTATAAAAAACCCTCGTATCATGCTGCCGTCAGATGTTGGCTCTGAAAGTACGACTTCAGGTTTCGCTGACGATCCTCAAGTAGAAACTCTAATTGATTCTATTAACTCCAATAGGACTCTAACATGTTGGAACTGTGAAGGATCAGGTCACCGGTTTCGTCAATGCCAACAATCTAAAACTGTGTTTTGTTATAAATGTGGCAAAAAGCAAGTGACAACTAAATCTTGCCCACGTTGTTCAAAAAACTTGACTCTGGCAGGGAATTAGGCCGGATTTCTTGCCTCTCACCTGAAATGGCCAATACTCTTGGAACTACAGCCGTTCTCAATTACATTCTTGCTCATGTCGAAGGCGACGAACGTCCTTTCTTGAAAGTAAAAATATTCGGAAAGAATTATTGGGTTTGTTGGACAGTGGTGCCTCAAAAACCATCCTTGGTTCTTCTGGATGGGAAATTCTGAAATCAATTTGTAAATTGCTACCCTCTCCAATTACGAACTGCGTGGTGGCCAATGGTCAAAACTGTTCCATTATTGGACTTGTTCGTCTACCCATAACTCTAAGAGACCGCTCTATTCTTCTGGATTACCTTGTAGTACCTTTGGTTCCACACACTCCTATATTAGGAGTTGATTTCTCTAAACGAATGGATATTGTCCCAGATCTCAATATTCTCAATGCTGGTGAATGATGTTTTAAATCAAAGGCTCATTCAGCCATCCCACTTATGTCACTACAATCCTTTGATAACCTAAGTTCTGAGCAGCGCGATATACTTGATAGTCTATTGGACAGCATATTTTCAATGATGGAAAATAAACTAGGCTGTACAAACCTTGTTCAGTTAGTCATAAAAACTGAATCCCCACCTATCAAGCAACGATACTATCCCTTGTCTCCGGCGTTGTTAAAAACCGTACATAAGGAACTAGAGCAGATGATCGCAGATGACATTCTCGAACCTTCCAACTCTCCTTGGTCGTCACCGATCGTTATAGTGGAAAGAAAGTCTGGAAATTGGAGATTTTGCGTTGATTATCGTAGCCTGAATCGTGTAACCATTCCAGATGCTCATCCGATCCCCTGTGTCAGTGCGACACTCGACAAATTTCGAGATGCCAAATTTCTTAGCACGCTTGATATCAAGTCTGCATATTGGCAAATTCCTGTTGCCCCAGAATCACGTCCGCTAACTGCATTCACTATTCCATCACGTGAGCTATATCAATTTAACCCGGGAGTACACGCGTGCCGGTCAAAAGGACCAAATATTGATAAAATCAGTAATTACGCTACTAGTACAAAATGTGACAGTTTTGTCCATTCAGGAATGCCTGATGCAGGTTTTCCACTACCCATTGGCCCAAAGATATTTTGGTTTTTGGTTGAAGAAGGGTTCGTTGTTTTCATAGTCGGTGCTTTTGACTAGGCGCGTGAACCTGAGTATCTGAAATATTTGTGTTCAAAATTGGAATTTTCTGATATTGGGAGTACTTTTGGCTATTGTACTATTGATTAGTAAACTTGCGTAGGTCATACCTTAGCGTTCAGGATAAGCTTGGGATCGTTTCCGCGAAAAACGCTAATAATTCACATAAACTTTTGGGCAGTCGGTCGATTTGTCTGAACGCGTGTAACGACGTAAGTGTACGGCCACACAGAACGCGTTTGAAGCGGCATTAACGCGCTTGGCGACTAAAGTGTTTGGAACGTCTTATGCTACTAGAATTAAAATAATGTAATATATATCGAGTGGCCCGACAAGACGCTTCTTGCGTTTTGCGCTTCTTAAGCTATAGACGAAAAAGAATTTATATCGCAAATGAAAACAAATCAGTTTGTTTTTTGAGCGCGTTCAGCGTGCGTTCTTTGACGATTTATGCCTAGTTTTCTTTCATTTAGGTATTTGAAATGTCTTTTCAATATTTAAGTCAAAGGTTTCAATGGTTATTCTATAGTATTCAAAAAATTTATCAGGATGTTGCCACAACTGGAGAAAAAAGTATGAAATTCACCCTTTGTGGTTCTCTCTTGGTTCATGGACCCACTCAGAGAGTCTCATCACCATAATCTTATTCAAGATTTATGTTCTGGGTACGTCATATCTTTCGTAATTATCACTCCTCGACATACCTAAAGAAACTGCATAGTACAAACAAGCAACACGCAGCTTCTTTTCTTCTTTGGACACAACTCGCAAGAAAATCTTCGAACGCATAAAAAGCATATGAAGTAGACGCCAAAACGCATTCAATGCCGCTTGAATCGCTTTCTGTGTGGCCGTACACTAAGTTTTTTGGCGCGTGTAATGCCGGGTTAAACGTATGGCAACGGCTTATCGACAGAGTAGGTTTTCGTCGATTTAGATGACGTAATAATATGCACATCGGCCTCTGACGAGCATATGCGAGTCTTAAGAGAAGTAATGAAGCGTAATTTCGACGCTCGTATTGAATCGTGAGAGATGCCAGATATGTAAGCCGGTGCTGAAGTATCTTGGATATGTAGTTAATTCTTCAGGTCTTTTGGTGGATCCTGGCAAAGTTGAGGCTATCCTTGAAATTCCCACTCCTACCACTGTTTCAGAGGTACGTCGGATTATTGGTATGGCATCATGGTATCGCAGATTTGTGCCTAATTTTTCTGCCGTTATGTAACCATTGACAGCTCTTACCAGGAAACATGTAAAATTTGCATGGGATTCTGATTGTGAGAAGGCGTTGTTTCAAACAGTCAAAGAATATCTCATTAAAGCCTCGGTTCTTTCTTGTCCTGATTTTAATCTTCCCTTCTCCGTTCAATGCGACGCATTCGACTTTGGGTTGGGTGCCGTACTTTCTCAAAATCACGATGATGAAGAGCATGTAATTTGCTATCTAAGTAGATCCTTGACCAAAAATGGGCGAAAATATTCGACGACTGAAAAGGAATGTTTAGCCGTCCTTGTTCGCTAGTGAAAAGTTAAGACCCTACTTGGTAGGAACCAAGTTCACCGTAATTACAGACCATTACATCCTATAATGGCTTAACAGTATTAAAGACCCCGTATGTCTGGCAAGTGAAAAATTGAAGATCCCAAAATTTTCAGCCAGACTCACTTTCCACTATCTGAGTTAAGCCAAATTGCTATTTTCATATACTTTATGTTCTATTGTAGTAAATGTGAAATATTTATGTCTAGGAAAATAGGTGTACTTGTATTTTTCATTGATCTTGTGAACCCATCCAAAAATTCTTGTTTTGTATTACCAGGGGAACAAGCTATTTGATAGATACCAACTGGGAAAATAAGTGCTAAAAAATTTCACGTACAAGTTCTCACTAAACCAATGCACTGAAGTCTGTTCGTTTCTTGTTTCTTAATTCTTCATTGGCCTTTCTTGACGTAATCGCCACGATGGTGATGGTGACTCCGAGAAGTGTAGGTAAGTGGGACCTCGTGTCTAGTAATCTAGCATCTTATCCCTTTTGTCCTAAAGTTGATACCACAGGGCCAACAAAGACGCGTCGCTACGCCTACACTGACCTAAGCAAACCAACGACCAGACCATATTCGCCTGGATAAATAATCAAAGCGCCCCAACCAGAGCCATGGTGTATGTTTTGCCATGCCTGCCTTCAAGAATCCAGTGAGTTTCAACACCCCAGCTTACCCAGAGCACACTGTGCATTCAGTGCCCATTTGATAAGCTCAAAAAAACAATCTATTAAAAATTTTATAACCACTCTACATCTGGTAGATTGGAAAAAGCAACTTTCATTTAAACAGTCACTAAGGTCCAGCAGAGACCACTTGACATATTGTATCTACCCCTCGGTCTAGCCCTAAAATATATTTATTAGAAAATGTATTTGCTCGGACTTCAAAGGAAAATCTCGTGAAAATTCTTTTTGTGGAATTTTTTACTTATTCTCTTATTCTGCCTTTGGCTCATATCTGGATTGAAACTTTCCATTGTTTAATGAAGCTACAGTCTACAACTGTTGTCAATAAATATAATGAAAAGACCATGGATTTTATATCCACCTACTCAGCTTACTGTTTGTAAAGATTCTTTGTATGTATAATTGTTGAATTATTTATCTATTCTGCCTCTGGCTTATATCGGGATTGAAACTTTCCATTGCTGATGTAGCATGAAGCTACAGAGAGTAGTCGAACATATTGTAACTGTTGACCACAAATAAAATAACTCTCTAATCAGTGGCTGAAGCTCTAGAATAGTATATATTATAATTTAATTTATGATTTTTCTATATTTCTAATATTATCAGATTGTATACTTTACTCGCTTGTGGTAACTTGATTATTTAAACCTATTTTTGTTGTTACTCAAT